GGTAAGGGAAAAACTATACTATAAAAAATCGAGGGTAGGAAACATATAAAAACAGTTATGGTAATTTTTTTCCTTGTCATAAATATGATATTAAAAAGTACTATTATTTTTTACTTTTATTTTTATATTGTTCTTCATAGCTTATCTACAGCTTCTCTAGAACACATACCATAGGATATGTGTGATTACCCCATCCAGAAACATAAAATGAAAATATGTTCCCATGAAAATGCACTTTGCATTAGGATTGTTTATTTGTTTCATGTTTTGCTTTTGTTGATAACTGCTTAAGTCAAATCCAGAGAGATAAATGAGCATTCTGTTTACAGTAAACATCTTCTGTATGGGCTAAAAATGCTTCTGGTCTGCTCATAGTCTCTCAAAGTCTCTTCCAGAAGCATCAGGAAAAAAACTCAGTGAACATTCTTGCCATTTCACACGTAGAAAATGTCTAAGATATCCCAAAACAAGAAACAAATAGATTCATGTTTCATCTTTCTTTAAAATTGTGAAATGAAGAGGAAAGGTAAAGAAGTGAACCTGTGGGAAGAAGCTTTGCCGGTGAGTAGGAGGGACAGAAGTGAGGTTTGCCACAAGGATAACTGCAAAAGTAACATGATAGAGGGGAGCAGGAGAAGTTAATTTTCAAGAATATTTAATAGGGAATACTAAATATATATTGAGTGAGTAATTAGGAGGATACAGACTGTGGGGTTATTTCTCAGCAAAAACAAACTACATAATAACAGTGCAATGAAATCTGTTCTTCAACTGTACTAAAATATAGAACTGTTATGATTTTTGATTTTGTTGTACTAAAGTATACAACTTCCCTTTACTATTCCAGTTTTATTTGACTCAGATGAAAACAGTGCATTATGTGTACAAAGAAAGGTATCTGTCTGCAAAAGTGTGGAACTTGTTTGGAACTGCCTTAAACCCTGCACATCAAAGGTGCAGGAGAGATCATGCATGTAAGTGATTTCTTTTATTCAAAATGAGAAGACACTTCTACTTTCCTCAGTTCTCCTCGACCACAAAGCTCTGAAGTTATCTTGGTCTCAGGGGCTTAGGGGAAGATCAGTGGGTGTGCACAGGGAAAACTCTTAATACTAGCTCTTCTTCAGGATTTTTTATGTATTCCCTATTTGGGAAACTAACACATCATACTCTACCAGAAGTAGAGAAGGCAAAGCGTTCATATGTAAACATGTACTGGCAGACCATTCCCATACAAAACATTAGCACCATTTATATAAGTAAACATGTCTGGAAAACTAGTGAGAAATGTCAAGTAGTACTGCATAGGTCTTCTCCAAATGCAGGAATCCTCTGACCTCAGTCACATCCTGAAAAACAGGCCTCTTCATAGAGCCATTCAGTAGGAAGGTATCAACTGAACTTACTGGTTAACTAAAAAAGATAGAAAAATATTCTGTATATTTGCTACAGTTAAGCTGAAATTTTAAAGAAAATAACCTAGAAGAGAAAGGCCTCTCAGGAGGTGAAGAGTTAAAAAAATCAGTGAAAAAAAAGTATATCCCTATTGACAACACTTCGGGTTGAAACTGCTCCTATTTTGCAAGAAGATAGTACAGTCTCATTGAAATAATAAATGATACTGAAATAATCTATTCAACATCTTTGTTGGTGACATGGACAGTGGGATCAAGTGCACCCTCAGCAAATTTGCTGATGACACTGAGCTGTGTGACACGCTGGAGGGAAGGGATGCCATCCAGAGGGACCTTGACAGACTTGAGATGTGGGTCCATGCAAACATCATTAAGTTCAACACAGTAAAGTGCAAGGTCCTGCACCTGGGTCATGGTGATCCCAGGTACACCTACAGGTTGGTCAGAGAACTGGTTGAGAACAGCCCTGTGGAGAAAGACTTGAGGTGATGGTTGATGAAAAACTCGACACAAGTTGGCAGTGTGTGCTCGCAGCCCAGAAAGCCAACTGTGTCCTGGGCTTCATCAAAACCAGCATGGCCAGTGGGCCAAGGGAGTGATTCTACCCCTCTACTCTGCTCTTCTGAGATCTCACCTGGAGTACTGCATCAAGCTCTGGGGTCCCCAACACAAGAAGGACATGGAACTTCTGGAGCAAGTCCAGAGGAGGGTCGTGAAGCTAGTAAGAGGACTGGAGCACCTCCCCTATGAAGACAGGCTGAGAAAGTTGGGGCTGTTCAGTCTGGGGAAGAAAAGGTTGCTTGGAGACCTCATAGCAACCTTCCAGTATCTGAAGGGGGCCTATAGGGAAGCTGGAGAGGGACTCTTTGTCAGGAACTGTAGTGACAGGACATGGGTACAAATTGAAAGAGGGGAAATATAGGTTAGCTATCAGGAAGAAATTCTTTACTGTGAGGGTAGTGAGACACTGGAACGGGTTGCCCAGGAAGGTTGTGGATGCTCCAACCCTGACAGTATTCAAAACCAGGTTGGATAAGGCCTTGAGCAATCTGGTCTAGTGGGAGGTAACCCTGCACATAGCAGGTTGGGACTTCAGGATGATCTTTAAGGTCCATTCCAACCCCTTACCATTCTATGACTCTATGATACACTTTAATCACCTGATTATTATTAATGTCGCCTCTAGATTAGAACTCTCAAGAAAGGGGTTAAGAGATTAAGCACAGTGGTTTCTGAACAGCACTGTTAGAAATAAATGTTCTGTATTTACTGACATGCTAGCTACAACTCCTTTGAATTCCAATTTACTTTTAGATCAGAAGAATGGAAATGCAGGCATTGTGCATTATAAAAGCATCCCAGAATGAAAACCTCTTTCTGTACTGTGGCCTGTGGTGGCTGCAAAAAGTTCTGTGAGCATGTCAATCTCTGAAAAATAAGTTAGTTGGTCAGCACAGGTTTAAAACATAATTTTGTTGATCTTGTCTCCTGTTGAATGAGTTTGCCTTTGTGTTCTCCTTCTAGATTTGGATTTATACATATAACTGTCAAAGTTGTCTTGTCGGATGAAGCCTGAGAAAGGGATTGATTTTTCTCTTTGGTGTAGCAGATGATTGTGGTGTCATCTATAAATATCTTTGCTACAAGACACTGAAAGTATAGAAGAGAAAAGTCAGAGATCTTATTCTGCTGTATCAAACTCTAATATGTTAACATTTGAAGATATTAACATTTAAAGATATTTCACAGGCCTTGACTTAGAGATTTTGACAAGACAAACAGAAGTCATCTACAAGTATGGATATAGGTTGATGAAAGAGCTGTAAGGAAGCAATTAATAAGAAGTCTTAGATCTTGTAGAATACTTCCTTTCAGGGAAACGCAATGGTATGTGGTGAATCCAAGATCACTTTAAATATTAGCAAACTGTTGTGTAAGTTGAGGCACAAATAAGTCCTCCGATCTTGTGTCTAGGAAGACCACATATATACTGAAATACCTTAAAACCTACTTTTAGGACCATGTCTTTCAGATGTGCATAGGCAAAAAATAGAAGGTAGCTCATGTGTGTATCCATCTCTAGTACAATCCTTAGCTGAGGGGGATAATGTTTGGGACTCTTAAGTTCAAAACTATACACAGTCCTAGAGAAAAATCCAGGGCTCATGAAAAAGTGAAGGAAGTACTATTTATATTATCTATGCCACTTTAAAGGTAAAAATCTAGCTATAAAGTTACCAAGTTCTATCCTATTCTTTACCTGTTGCAGTGAAACTCAATTCAGTCTTCACCAACAAGGTTTCTTGGGCCTTTGTGTCTCTTCCTTCTCTCAAGGAAGAGAGAAACTACCAGTAGTAGAATCTGATCAGAGTCAGGAATGCCTTGAGAAAAGATAGAGCTCAGCCCGTATAAGTCACAGAATCACAGAATCGCAGAATCCCAGAATGGGTAAGGCTGGAAGGAACCACTGTGGATCATCTGGTCCAACCTCCCTGCTCAAGTAGGGTCATCCCAGAGCACGTGGCACAGGATTGTGTCCAGATAGTTCATGTGTATCTTCAGTGAGGAAGACTCCACAGCCTCTCTGGGCAATCTGCTCCAGTGCTTGGTCACCTGTACAGTAAAGAAGTTCTTCCTCTCATTCAGGTGGAACTTCCTGTGCATCCATTGGACCAAATGGGATATACCTTAGCATTCTGAGTCAACCAGCTTATATCATTGTGAGGCCACTCTCTGTTGTCTTCAAAAAGTCATGCAGATGCCTGGAGAAAGGCATCATCATCAAAACAGGCAGGCTGGTCAGCCGCACTCTAGTCCTGGGAAAATCATATAGTCCTCTTAAAGCCACTTGTGGTCACACAATGTGACTGCCTTTTATGATAAAATGACTGGATTTATGAAGGAAGGAAGAGCATTGGATGTGATTTACCCTGGCTTTAGCCAGACTGTTGACAATATATCTCCCACAGCATACTTGTCTCCAAGCTGTGATGTTAAAGTCTGGGTAAATAAATTACTAGATGATGGAAATCTGTTTGGACGGTGGTATGCTTTGAGAGACCTAATAGCAGCCTTCCAACACCTAAGAAGAGATTGTCAAAAAGATGGAGCCAGGCATATATACTGAGATATATAGCAGAAGAACAGGAGATGATAGTCATAAACCAAAAAGAGATGTTCTGATAAAAAAAAAAATTTAAAAATTCAGTGTGAATATAGTTAAGCATTAGAACAGGCTGCCCAGAGAAGCTATGGAATCTCTGTCCCTGGAGAACTACTAAAAAGACATGAGCAACCTTGTCTGAACTCTGTACTGACTATGTTTTGAGTAGGCAGCTTAGATGACCTCCTAAAATCCCTTATAAACTGAAGGATTCAATGATTCAATGAGTAAATAAAAATCTCCTTATTACTGCACTCATTCATACCTACATTCACACAGAGGACACTCAGGAGTTAATTCATCTAATTGCAATAAAAATCCTAAAATATTTAGAAAAAGCATTTCAATTGTCTCAAATACTCCAAATCCTACAGAGAGCAAGAGAAGTAAGTATAAATACAAATTTAGAAAGCAATACTTACTGTTATTCGTTGGCTCAGAAAACCCAACATTCTGACCATTCCAACTCTTGTTTTCTCCAAGCTGAAACAGGTAGAAAAAGACAAATAAATAAAGAGCAAACTACTCCCTAAACAGAACATTCCTGTTTATAAATTTAGTTGAAAGATTCTAAAAAAGGATGACTTGGGATTGCCACATCCAAGTGGCAAAATTTTGCTAACACATCTTAATTTTTGTCTAAGGTTATTTGAGTAATGTACCCTTCATGAATAAACATTAACAACTATTGCCTAACACTGAAATAAAAATGTTTCCCCAAGGATTAGGCTCATCTAAATAAGTTACCAAATCAGACCTAAATAAAATTAAATATTTTAAGCAGCTCTCAACTGAAAACACAAACAGACAACAGAGAAATTACATTCTAAAACTAGAAGACCCTAATAACTGCCTACAAAGGAATGCATAAATGCTATAAAGTACTTTGGGTGTAATTTTATAATATTTATTTGCTGGGAATCCACTTAGTTGTTGAAGTGGAAGCAAAAATGGTTGCAATTTTCCATTATTTTAATATATTTTTGATGAAGCTAATTGTCCTCAAATTAATTTTATTATGTTTAATACTGGGTATTACTCTGACATGGAATAGGGGAGCAATTAACAGAGTTTCAAAATGAGGGCATCACTGAAGTCTACACAGTAAATAAGATGGCAGTGTTCTAGGTTTATTGTAGAAGTGGATAAACAAGTCCAAGCTTCCTCACTACTTAGGAGCTATTGACAACCAACTCTATGCATGTGAAACAAATGAACCTTTTCAGATTTCACTGGGATTTTGTATGCACACAGAAAACCTCGCAGCAAAGCAGGCTATATGCCATGTTGGCATATAAATTGTACAAAGCTGTAATCATTTGCTCTGGAATATGGGGTTGATTGTAAAGTGGAAGAGATGCAAAGGGGGATCAATGAGCAGAAATCTGCCTATGCATCCCAGAAGTTGTGTTAAAGCTGTTTAGATTACCATCATGCTGTAACGAAGAATACTAGATGATATGTTTTCCTTGGGAAAGAGCACACTATGCAAAGTAGCTATTCAAATTATTGTTTCCTTGCTTTTCATCATCATGTACGTCCAAAGTGCTTAGAGCCTTGGCATTGTGCAATGAAAACAGGAGATATAATATGGAAAGGGAGGACAGGTATTATAGCTGGCTTTTAAACTGGTCACCCACCTCCATGCACTTCAATTTCACATAACTTGTTTTATTCATATTAGGAAGCATATATATCTATTGGAAAATGTGGGAGACAATAGTTCTTCAAATGAATAAGCAACAGGAAATCTGTAAGTATGTTTGCGTTTACTGCTGTTACAACAGCATGGTTGTGTTAGGAATCCATACTATTCATCCATGATATGATACCAGCACAAGCGCACTGCTACAACATAAGAAGAACATATCCAACTCCCCTCATTCTTCTTTTTTATTGTTTATTAACTTGATCATGATGGGGAATTTAACAAGAATTCATCTATCAGTAAGTGACCCTTAATGTTGCTGCCTCACATGAATGCAATCTACTCTGTTTTATTCTCTCTAGGAGAACACAAGTGCCAAGAAGAAACAAAAAGACAGAAACATGAAAAAATTATAACAACTCTCCATTCTTATCCATGGAGCTAAAATTCTGACAGCTGCAAAAGTCTCCCAGTGCACTTTCAAATTGCTCTCCTCAGGGCTCTGCACAAACATTACTGATTTCCTCCAGGAATAAGACTAGCTCAGAAAATAGCAGAGCCTTTACTTTTTTTTACCTAGATTACCTGTGCTGCCAGCAGCACCATGCATTGCTCTTGTAACACTCTTGGTCTTCATTAAAACTATGAATACAGCCACTATTTTTTTTTTTAAAGAAAGGAAGAATGGAATGAAAAGACTCAGGGAAGGAGGGACACTGAGGAAAAAGAAGTTGCCTTTTCTATTAAAATCATCAAAAAGCATACAAGTGAAATTGTCCATTTAGATGCCAACCTGCTACATCAGCCAGTCTACACTAGGTCCCATTTTGGATTCAAAGAGAGAAACAAGTATATTCTAATGGTGTACTTTATTGTGCAATTTATATGGAAGGAATTTTTCAGCGTTCAGATTGATAGAGATCTAAGAGCTATTTTCCCCCTTCTCCACCACAGTCTAGTTAGAGAATTAGAATGCTTTAAGCTACACAAACTAACTTGTGCATCTCCAAATATGTTCAGTCTGTTATATACAGAAGATAAAGCCAGATGTTCTAGATATTTTATGTCCTTAACCCCAACAAAGCTATAAAAATTTGTTATGATCTTGTTATGATACTGTCATTACATAAAATTTGAGTAGTTCACATTTTTTGGATACAGCAACATGTTTGTTCATTGTGTTAAGAATAGTATTAGGCCACTATATGCTATTCTACCAATCCTAAAATGTATACATCTGCAAGTATGTAATTAGACCTGATTTTCTAAAGGTAATGCACTTGTAAGTAATAGTTTAATAACTGTAGGGAAACCAAGCAGCAGCATCTCTTTTTAGCCCTCAATTTCTTTTAAGGATTTCAATGTAACCACAAGTTTCCACTGCGTAGAGCTCTCCAGAGCAACTATGTTGTGGGCTGAATTTTTTCAGGCTTTATCTCTGGAAAATACTGAGTAAAATTAGTTCAATTTAAAATCCAAGAATGAAAGTCCATGTTTTCCTACTAGGGGAAAAAAAAAGTTGACTTCTCTGTTTTTTCTTGTTTTTCATTAAAGCCCTTTGGCCATATTGGCAGTGAAGAAAAAGCTGAAACTTTTATACTGTAGAAAGTATATTCTACAGCAAAAAAGTGTCAGCATTCTGGTGAAAATGAATTATCATTTGATTCAGTCAGAACCCTGTTTTTAAATGGCTATATCTGCACAATGTGTTCTCACTAGGAACATCATTTAGCTTCCAAGTACTCTGTTTAGAGTATTTCACACCTGTCTATGACTAAGACATATAGTGAAGAGCATAGTGAAGGTGAGTGTGAACAGTATACATATTGCTGCTACTCTCAGAGGAGAGGGAAACAGAAGGAGGTGGGGCCAAGTAACCAGCACAGCATTTATTTTTCCTGGCTAGAAGTACTGAACATATAGAACAGAGTACCTTCATGTATATATATACATATCAGAACATTCTGTTGACCTGAGCTAGCTAGTGTAGTCACAATAAACATGCAAGAAATTATCAAAATATATACACGCAGTGACTGCATATGACAGAAGTTGCTTAGAGTGACAGCTTAGTCGAATACCTTACCAAATATCTTTTCAGGATACAAAAGGCAAAATCTTTAACACCCAATTTTGGTTACTAAATCTCTTATTAATAAACACAAGGCAGGAGAGGAATGCTAAGTTGCACATAGTTAACATGGAAACACATACCTGCAACACATGAATTTAAAATGCAATTTCTTCTCCATAAAAAAAAAAAAGTGACACACATTTTCTTTATCAGTCATCAAATCTGAAAAGGCCATTCTTTTTCTGGAATGCTTTTAGTGCACATGTAATGGGAAGATAAACATTGACTACTAAGGCTATTTCATGTATGAAAATTACTAACATAGTTCCTTTCAGTGCTCTCGTGGATGCCCAAAATGGAATAAAAGCAAGAGGCACATTCATCCTGATTTGTAAGAGGAAAGAGATGCACACGTCACATGTACACTTCTCCACACACGCTATTCGGTGGAACTACCTTTCTGTTCCTAGTAACTCTTACAGGAGCAGAGGCTGCACTTACTAATAGACGTGGCTATAGAGCTGTAGCTAAATAAAGGCTAATTTGTGACAAGCAACTCCCTAAAATAGGGGATGCACAAGCTTAAGTTTCCACTCTTACTAAGTGATTAGCTGATACAGGCTAAAAATTTAGACAAGGGTAAAATACGGGCATTGTAACAATTGGTTCTCACCTTTTCTGGCTGGTCTTGAAGAGGAGTAGAGGCTTTGTAACCCAGTTGTAGCAACATTGCTTCTGCTGCATTTCTTTTAGCTATTTTCTTGTTTGGGCCTGTTCCAGTAGTAATATCATTGCCTACTTTTACCTTAAAAAGAAAATATTGATCATAATCATGACAAATACAAGATTCCTTAATATCACCATGTAATACACCTGATCTATCAACAGCTGTCAGTTCTTCTGATGAAGATGCAATCTTGAAAGAGTAAAAGTAGTGCAATGTGGGACTACAGTATTAGTTCACACAGAGGAGCTTGTTTAGATTTTTCAGAAGGTTCCCAAACTCATATCAAAGAGCCATATTTTTCTGTATCTCAGTGCTCATGTAGTTGCCTCTCTCTTCCACTAGCCTCTTGCGTCAACCCCATTATGCCTGATGAACTTCTCCCCCACTCTTTCTTAATACTGGAAGTGCCACAGGGTCTGTACTTCCTCTTTCTTGTAGGAGCAGCAGCTCCCCAGCATCATCAGGACAGTATCCAGAACAATGGAGAGACAAATAGTGACCTGGAGATTTAAATGAGAGTGGTTTCTAAGGAAAGATGAAAACCATATTTGCATTCCTCCCACTTGGTCACACTTGCAAGGAAGATGGGGGCTGGGACCACTTACACCTGATTAGCTTTGATCAAAATAGTCTTTGGAAAGAAGGCTCCTCGTTGGACCTGTGGTCTGTACAGCACAAAGGGTTTCTGATAAACACGATGCCTTTCATAAAATGAGGAGAAACTAAAGCCTTAAAATAAGGACAAATTGTAGACAATGGATAGCCACAAAGTGTGCGGCTCTAACTTAGTCCTTGGCTTGGGTACCATTTTTAAAACTTCTGTATGGGTCTGGTTTGTGACATTAGCAATGTCATTAGTATCCATTTATGCAATATTCATAGCTCTTTGATAGGTATATTTTATTCTGTCCATTAAGCCCTTTTATTTGCCAAATTGTCTCTTAAAATAGTGCACAGTTTCAAAAGCGTGTCAAAAAAAAGGAAATCAAAATAAAATAAAAATAATAAAACAGCCAAGGTGATCTGAACAAAAGAAACCTCAGAGATCAAAGACCCAAAACAGCCTGGAAGGAGCTTTAAAAAAAATGCAAAATCAGGCATACTAACGTTAAATAAATAATAAATGTTATTTAATAGTTTATGTTATTAAATAATGCTTCACTTTCCTCAAATTATCATGTATATATATATTTTCCTAAAAGTTTAAATTCTTATTTACTCAAATACTAATTATTTCTAAATATTAAGAAAAGGATGAAAATAATAATCATCATGACTATTCCTTTAATGTATATATATATAATTAAGCAAAAAGTTTCAGCTACCGAAGCCAGGAATATTAATAATCTTGAAATATAAACCTTATCTTCAATGCAGTTCACAATAACAATTAGAAAATAGCCAATCTGCTACAAGTTTATATGCAATAAAATTGAGGGACTTTAATAGGACAAGACAAAATGATAATTTATAACGTAGCTCACAATAAATCAATGTGTTGCTATTTCTCAGACCTGTAAAACTGGTTTAGCTATTATTATAACCTCTATCAAGGATTAAAGGTCTGACTACAAAGAGAAAGATCTTTCTGAAATTAACTTTGGGAACAGAACACCAACTAATGTCATCAGAGGTTTTCTTCTGTTTATCTAGTAGCCAGGACAAGTAATTGGATCCATTTCATCACATCTAAACTTGCTCTTTGTGTGACAGATAAAAATGAACATATTATCTCTGGATATTTTACTTCCACATTCAATTAAATTAAATGAAAACATTGTTTAAGTAGTTTATACAAAGGTTTTTTATTCTGATAGGGTTTTTTGCATGCCATAATGGATCCACTGAGACTTCCTGAAGGCAGTAGAAGCAGCAGTACGATTTTAGTTTGAAAATACTGCAAAAGGGTGAAAATGGAGTTTAAAAGTATTCATAACAAAGCAACTGTTCTATGAAATTTCTTTGACTTTTTTTTCACAAGCCTTCTTAGATAAAAGGAATCTTCTACATATTCCCTGCTTTTAAGACTCTTTTTTTATTCAAATTAAAGATCTGAATTCCTCCAGCAGAAAACTAAATTCTCAACCCATTTTTCTAATACTAGGCTGTGTTACACTGTCCTCTTCTAAGGTCTCACACAACAACCACTAACTGTGGACAGTCCCATGGGGGTTTAAGCACAGGAAATGAGATTGTCTGTGATAGAATTGCTCTTTTTCAAATAATTTCAGGTTTCACGAAAAGTTGTAAATGTAAGATTACATTCATGAAAAGGATTCTGAAACAAAAAGAACCCATCTTTTGCTTCAGAGAGAAAAATAATAAATCATCAGGAAAGACCACTGAGGTTCGAGAAAATTAAGATTGCTAGACTATCTTCATAGACCTGAAGGAGGAAGTTACAGATTTAAGTGAAAACATAACTAATTTTCTGGAGAAGGAGGTGCTGGAACATCATAAATTCTGCTTCTGATCAGAAGTGACATTTTGGTGTGGTTTGTAGACAACAAGTCAAAACATGTTGAGGTATGCCGTTCTGAGTTGTTCCGGCACAAAATTACCCTTGAGTGAAAACACAAAGGCACAGAATCCTTTCCTGTTCCTAATCTTTCTCAATCTGCTGTTGTGCTATCTAACAAAATATCACAGTTATATTAAATTTTTGTACATGTTCTTAATTTAAATATGAAACAAACATTAATGATCTACTGTTTCTGTATTAGGTCCAGACAGAGGACAGCTGAAACACATGATAGAAGGCTTTTCTTTGTTGTATTTCAGATATAAGCAAAGCCAAAAAGAAACTGAAAATCTGAATATATTTACAACACTATTGTTTAAAACCAAAATGCTTGGTAATATGGAGATATTAATATCCATACTTCAGAATACTAGTTATTATTGCAATCCTCTGATCAACAACAGCCCAATTTTTTTTTCCAAAAGACAAGTAAATAAATCATAAACCATCAGAGATAAAACCAGCAAAAAAAAAATATATGGAAAACCACTACAAGCAAAGTGCCTAGAAGGCACGCAACCAAATGGCCATTTGTTTCACCGAGACAAAGAAGAAAGTTTAGACAGGCTTTCTGATACTGTATTTCATTCTTCTCTTCTATAACTGACTTTAAAGCAAAGAGCTAAACACAGGAAGATCCACTTCATATTACGCCAACATCTTGCTTGAGTTTGAACAAAACAAAGCAAGTCCACTATGTCTAACGTGACAGCAAATGATACCTGCATAACAAACTCTCGACGGCGAGGCATTCCTCTCTCTGAAAGAAGAACATACTCTGGTTCCTTCTCCTTTTTGGCCTGTTGGATCTGAGCCAAACGACTGATGGGATTCATTCCTTGACCATATTCTGGTCCAGTCTAAACCAGGTTTAAAGAAAAGAACCATTATTTCAGTATATATTATACAATTACTACCCTACTTCAATAAAACATTTACTTGGGTTATCTCTTTAATACTCCCTTTGAGAGAATAGGAAGTAAATTTGTAAATAATTTTCTGATCATGACACAAAAGATAAGAATCCTCAGGCTCAAAGCTGTGGAAAAACGTGGTCTGATACAGCTGCAGGTAGTGTGCATACCTGGCACCTGCAAGCTACAAATACCCTCATCTATCTGTGGAGGTCCTTATGAGGATGGATGAAAATCGGCAGATTCATCAGTCAATTATATCTTATTGCCCTACTTCTAGGACCCTTCAACCCAACCCTTTAAAATAGGTTGCACAATGCTGGAACATGCATTACACTGAGATGAGATTTACAAGAGATCAAAAAAGACTTATCATATATAATAAGGAAGCTTCCTCTCTCAGCCTTCCTGCTTTCCTTCTTAGCACCCCTGCCTTCCATCCTACAGTGCAACTAAAGGTGCAGAAGGTTTACTCTGTGTGTCATGTGAGTTTAGCCTCAAAATACTTTTATAAAGTGAATGGCTAGAAATGTTGCATGTTGTGAACCACCGACAAAGTATTTCAATATCCTCACAATAACATGTCAAAATGTATGGTTGGTGAGGGAATTGATCTGATGGGGGAAAACAAAAGAACTGACAAAGTCGTCTGTCCAAGATTACAGAGAAAAGTGAAAAACTACAATCATTACAAACTCTGGTTCTGGAATTCTTTTAATGAGTTATTGCTCACATGGCAAACGCTCTCTCAAAGGAAATAGCTATGAAAATATTTGTTTGTAGATCTTAGGAAGAAGAAATTAAAACTCACAAAAATTTAGCTGAAGTCATATTTAACTGATTTATATACCATAACACAAAGAAAGAACTCACAAATGTAAATGGCATTTGAATGTAGAATTGTTTTTATGTTATTGAGTTATTTCCTTTTTATGAAACCATTTGTCAGCTAAGAGAAGATGAGCACTCATGCTTCCTTGAGCTTCTCAAATAACAAGCAGTGTTGCAGAACCTGAAGACATTATCAGCAACTGAAGGCAAAGATTAGAGAGGGATATTATATTTAGAAAGCTGTGCAACAAATCCTTGTAGTGTAACTGCTGAAGTAGCTAGAGAAGATGTAGGTGAAAGAGCTAAGACAATGTCATACACAAGGGCAGCTGTGTGGGCAAGAAGCCAGGCAGAGACAAAATGCAGAGCAGGCTAAATAAAGAGCCAGCCATAAGATACAGCTTCATAAATATAGATACAAATAAAAGGAAGTTTTCGTTGCCACTTCTTTGATGCGTAAAACACTTCTAGGTTAAATTGAAAGAAATGAGCACTCTGAAAGCATTTCAGAAGTCTGGATATTCCAAAAATAAAAACCTTCTACACATTCAGCTTATTTTGACAATTAGTGTCTCTTTCTAACAAGGCCAACTTTGGCTAACTAAATTCAAGTTCATAATAGTAAGTGGTATATGGTAATGTAAGGGATTCTTACATTATTATACCCTTAGCACCTTTCTTGAGAAAAACTTTCCAAAATGAGAAAGCCAAACCAAAAGCCTTTTCAGATTTGCCAGCTTTAAAGCTGCATTAATGTTGATGGGTTTCCATCAAATAATTTTCCTGCCAATTTTTTCCTAAACGTTTTTGAGTTAGACCCCCAGAATCTTAACAGGAGATAGGTATCTAATTAAAGTAGGTTTTCTTGAAAAAATCATTGACTCTGTTTTGAAGGCAAATGAAAAGAGGAAGGTAATAAATAAGTCCTCTGTACATTTTCCAAACCCAGTGTTGCAACCTCCAAAGTATTTGCTTATATTAAAGGGCTTTTCTGGTGGTTGCTCCTTCAGAACTCTGTACCTACTTGGTACACTCACTATATAGATTCCTAAGGGTCATACTTTTAGCAAAGTAAGTACTGAAGCACTAAAGTAATACCCCCTGTATTTACTATTTCATGTATCTCTCTCCCTTGTCAAACTGGGGAGGGGGGAAAGCCCAGGGAGAGAGCCACTACATATGCTAGTAGGGCCTCCCAGAGGAGATGATGCTAAAACTTCACATGTCTGTACAGAGCTGCTTGGAGGGCTTGATCCTCTACTTAGACTTGATCCAAACCCATGAAGACTTCAATGATGTGAGCTATTTACAAGCCATTATGTTTGAAAATTCCACAGCATTCTCAGGACTTAAAAAAAAGGCATATTAGCACAGGCAAACAATATTGACACTAACCAGTAACTGTAACAATATAGACAGAAAATGACAAATAAGCCTTTATTGATTTTAAATCTGACTCTTTGTGAGCAAACATCCTTAATTCTGTCAAAAGTGGACACATACCTTCAATATTGTTTTTGGACGCTTTTTAAAGTAAAGTTTTGGCTTTTCAATCACAGGAAGAGGAGGAAGTTTCTTAAGTTCTTGTAGGACAGCCATTGCAGCACGTTTCTTTGAGAGTTTCTTACTGTTGCCTTCTCCTTCTGCAGTGAATTCTCCTACTGTAACTCGTGTAACAAAGCTCTTCATGTGCGGAGGTCCACTTTCTTTAATCACCTTTTAAGAGAAATTGAGTCAAATCACCCTACAAGAAGATAACTTAATGTTTGAATCTCTGCAATGAACTTAGTACTAATGCAGTTTTCCTGCTAACTGAAGGTATTAGATGGGTTTTCATAAAACTTGGACAAGTATTAATGACAGTATAAGATTTGAGGACAGAAAATTAAGACTAGTTAGATAAAGCAAACCTAACCACTATATTCAGTATTTCACAGAAAATACCATAGATCTATATTTTTTAAAATATTTATAGAATAACACAATATACAACAATAATTCATATTTAAACCAAGGCTGCTGGTTTTTTCCCTTGTAAGGTGCTTCACACACTAAAGAAATTAAATCCATGAAGGTCTACCAGGCTTTGGCTATTTCTTTACATAAAACATATTCAAAACTGTATTTATATGGCACCTTATTTCAACCTGCTTATTTTTTTTCTATTATCATTGAAACATAAGATGTTCACAGTTCCAAACTTCAGTCTCAAAGATTCATATTTTTATGCTGTCCTAGCTGCAGGCAGCATGCCTACTCTTACCTTGCCAGAGTACACAACTCAGAGCGATATCCCATATATTCAAAGGGTTGACAGTTTTGCCTCCAGCAGTACCAAAAGAAATTACCAAAAGAGCTACCATAACTCACACAAAAGCCAATCATTTCTGAAAAAAATTTATTTATTCACTCCCTTCCGAACATATTCAGGATGACAGTGAGAAAACCCATGTGAAGAAGTACTTCTCCACTACTACAGGGCAGAAAGAAATTAATGAAAGCTGTACCTTCCTTTGGCTCTTTTTCTGTCTTCACTTTCTCACACACACACACACACACACACATGCATTCATCTCCTTTTAGAAGGCTATACTGTAAGGATGCACTCATCCACAAATCACAGCACTGCAAGTGCTAGGATAGCCATCTCTTCATGTATGCACCGTTTACTGGTCTGGACAATGTCTATCAGGAATTAGAGACCTCATTTGGGAAAAGGTTCAGTTATTTTTGTTTGATGGGCGGAAGCAGCTACCTAATTTAATCTTTGTTATATGTAATATGTATAAGGAGACAATTAGAATATCTGACAGGCATCTCTTCATAATACCTTCAAAATCAATATAAATACCAATTTTTATCAGTAGATGGAATTATATCAAACCATTTGTTGAAGAAGAGTAATGCTTGAGTGCAAGGGACTTGAGGTAAAGGTGCAAGGGCCTTCTTGGTGTAATAACTATAGTTTTAATGTGCTGAAACCTTCAATCTTAATATTATTACAACATGTTTCGTATTAAAGTTCTTTTTATCAAGGTCGTGTCCCTTGCATTATTTAGTTTTGCTGTTGCACTGTAATGAGGTCTCCTAAGGCTTGTATTTCTTTTTTAAGCTCTCTTTTGTGGCAACTTCAGCAAATACATACCATTGCATATATCTATAAAAAGACATAAAACGAAAATTAACGGACAACTTTGTCCACATTTTCCCAGAATATGATGACATCTATGCCAGCATGGGATTTTTCTGTTGTAGTCCAGGAATGTTCCCACTCTGAGACTCCAGGTAATAATTTCAGAAGTGTTTTCAAGATTGCCTCACTTGAAAGTTGCCCACTAGTGCTTCACCATAAGAGAAGGCAGCAGTGCTTTTAAGGCACTGACCCACACTGAGCCACGGGATGCTGCACTGCATGCACCAGAGCTGGGATGAGCCCAATTCCAGGCTCTCCTGCTCTCAGACACAGCTGAACACCTTCATTGCACTGCAGCGTTTCCCACTCTGTTTTACAGACATATCTTAATCCATCCCTGTACATTGCTATCCAAGTATTACACCATGCTGTCTGTAAAAATGTCATGGCTAAATTAACCTTACTAAGGTCCTTAATCTTTTTGTGGTTCTACTAATACCATTATATAGGTGTTTCTCTTTACATGAAATATATCATCATCATGGCTAGGCTTTGTGAACGAAGATTTGGGAAGGCTCTATCCACATTTGTTACAGGCACGTTGGTGGCTAATAAGGCCAACACGAGATAGACATGTCTGATTGCAAAAGGCACAGCAGAAAGACTCCTTAGATGGTGTATTCTGCAACACACGATTCTTTCTGCATTGTCTTTTCTCCTCGAGAGTGATCCTGTGTGCTTTCTCAAAGGAAGCAGCAGCGTTATAGACGGTGTGTCTCCAGACCTCCCGACTGGGGGCCAGAGCAGACCAGTTATGGTGATCAATATGGCCAAGGCTGAGATGTTGTTTCAGGGAGTCATGCAATATAATGTATTAATAAAATATAAAAGAATGTCTACACTGACCAGATGAAAAAGGACAAAATAAGTTGCTTAAGAAATATAATTGCTGAGTTCCTAAAATATTAGTTTTATACAAGTTTTCTCATATATATATATATATATATATATATATAAATGCACACATATATATGAGAGCAAGAATGTTAATACAAAACCAGATTACACTTTCATATACACAAAAATATATTTCTTAATATAAAACTAATGCATTCTGGTGTGTTTTTAATCTTTTAAATTTTAAGTATGTGACACAAGGTAAATAATTGACTGAAAAACATTAAAAACTGTTTCTTTGTTAGTGTGTAAATGGAAAAAAGTCTGTGCTGTCAATGGAATGAATCCCATAGGATTCAGATGGGATCTGGATCAAGCTAAACATCCAAATGTGGTAATTAAGCAAAAAAATATTTACCTAACAACATTTTTGGTTAACCCCAGATCTTTTTACTCCACATGATTTCAAACAGTTGTGCTATGAGCCTTGGGACAGAAAACACTAGAAAGAAATTCAACCTTTGCTATCCAAGAACACTATATGCATTAGGACATTAAACTATTTCCTCAGTTGAAAGATACGACCTGTGGACCAAATCATGGTTAATTTAAAGCTGAGAATTTGATTAAGGGTGACAGTTCAATACACTTTTCTTTTTCTGTTCCGTGGATTTAAAGAATAATTACAGCAAGAGAAAACACATGGGGCGAAAACACATCTAAGGTCAAATTACATCAAGAATGAATTTGGCTCAACTTAATGAATCATGCTGACAAATGTAAAACAGCGGTACGATTACAGTGAAAGAGTAATGCTGCTTCAATTATTAATGAGACTCCAGGTAGAAAATTCAGAGGATTACAACAAGATTAAAGGGACATTAAAGAAACCCCAAGAAATAGAGGAGACAAAAATCGGATCAACAAACCCATGTCACCTACATCCATGTATCCGTGATTATTTAAAAGTTTTAAAATACCAATACATTACCAGGTGCTTGTGTGGCCAGACATACCAGATTTTCTCAGTCAAAAAAAACCAACACCTGGATGTCTGGGTGTAAAACTGAAGTGAGAAAGGGTGACCATCATGCAAAACCCAAAACCCAATTAAGAGCTACTCAGTAGTCAATCATCCAAAGCCTTAATCCGAGAGCAGAAGCCAGATAGGTGTGAGACTTCCTGTTGAGAACCAGTCTCCCAGAGTCAGCAATTTGGACTGTTGCTGGTTCAAAATAAAGAATATCTGTCTTACTTTGATAAGAGTGGGATATAAGCAACTGTATCTCTTTTTCCCAGTAGACCACTGGACAGGGATGGAGGGGCAGAAAATCTGCCTGTTCAGGCACTCTATGCCTTCACTCCTGATACTGACAATGAAAAAAAATATATTATTGTATTTGCTATTCTAAAGAAATAACACTACAATCCAAAGAAAATACTGAAAATAATATGACAATCTGAAACACCCCAACATGTTCTAATATGAAGCTGTTGACCTCCATTATGTTTTCTAGGATCACCAACTCCTTACTAACAAATAAGAAATAAAAAAAACATATATCTTGCAAAATAACTGAAAAATGCAAGACTTTAGCCTACTGCTAAAAAAGGAATAATAAGCGAAATGACCATTCTACAGGTACTCTTAACAATTCCTACAGCAATCACTTCTGTATTCCTTCTTAAAAACTGTTCATTGAGAACCCCACAAATGCCTTAGAGCAGTTGCATTTTTACTTAAAAGCTGATGAATCAAGGTTAGCTAAGGATGCGCCAGTGAAAAGTACGGAGTAAAGCTTGTTCTTTGTTAGAATTCAATGTTTCTCTTTTAGTTAACAATTTAATAGATATAAACTCCTTAAAACTCATCCTAAAGTTCCTAGGCAACTAAAACTAGCCCTATTACATTAAACAGGATTGTCCATCCCTCATGCAATTCTGAGGGCACGCTTACATAGAACTTTACATATATTTATGATGATTACTTCATTACATAACACAGCACTGTTGGAACATTGGCTAAAGCTTTGTCAGATGAAGAAAAGACAAATTATTTTATAGCTACTGCACACAAAATAAAAGCTAGAAAAAGCTTTGATGCCTGCCTGGAATAATACAAGACCATTTGTAAATAAAATCCTATTAGAAACATCAGATCCTGGGGATTACCCATAATTGCTTAGTAGTTTTATTGAAAAATAAGCCAGAACCAAGTTCAATCAAAACTCTATTTAAGACTGTCACCTTTAGTTAGATTTAAAGGCAGGAAATAACACAAAACCTGTCAGGAGAGCAAGAAACTGTCTTTTCTCCATGTTGCTAACATTCTTTGGCAAGTGACACATTAGACTTTTCCTGTACTAAGTATCTCTGCCTTCATTTTCTCCTTACCAAATGCTCTCCCCTAAGTAAGCTGAAACAGGAATGAAGTTAAGAAGACATTCAAAGCATTATCCCTCTTTTCTTTCCATCCTCCAAGCTACTCTGTCACCAGTGACCATACATCTTGTATTTTAGCGCATTGATTCATATGGAACTATTCCAAACACTTTTAAATATTTAAGGTAGAAAACAATGTGTGAAAACTGAAACTCTAATTATAAGCTTCCTTTTTGAAACACAGGCATGTGTTTCCATTATGCCTGTCTTATATAAGAGTTAGGTTCTTGGCATGTAGTGGCAAACTGATACTCCAACACGCCCCGACACCCCAGTTTCATCCTCAGATTTTACATTCTCTTAACTTTCTAACTAGCATGCATCACACAGACCATATATATGAGGCACAAACGCTTTTGTTATGCCAAGGAATTCCTTAGTCACAAATAGTATTCCTTGTCTTTGGCTCTCTGACCCACGTTATGAGAGATTTCTCAGATTTCTAAGAAGGTCCAAATAGCTCATTTGATGTTGGCCAATTCAGGGACATGGGCCAAACACGTCAGTAAGCTGCATACAGCACACTGTAAGGCATGCCACAGTTTAGTTTTTTTGGTTTTTTTCATATGCAAATACATGCCTATATTTTAAAAGGAAAAAGTACTGGAGAAAATAACCATCACCAATATAAGCACTATCCACATCTTTCATACATACTCAGTTTAAATGTAAAACAAAAAGCAGAAAAATCAAACATTAAAAAGCCATTTATATTAGCATTTCTGCATTTAAAAAAAACCAAAAAAACCCACCTTGGAAATCTGGTGTGTCCTACCACAACATTAGACTTTTACAACAAGCTTTTGTAAGAACTTTCTCATCAGAAAAATTTTTCTCATCGGAAAAATTTAGTATCACTCATTCTTCCGTACTTACTTAACTGATAGCATTGGAGCTATTCCAAATATTCTTTATTACTTAAGATAAACAAAGGTGTCAGAAGCAGGTTTATAGATAAAATCATATGAAACAAACAAAAAAAATCATGAAGGCTTAAGCAGAGATAAGAAGTCAAACAGAGTGGAATACAAAAATACTCATGACTTTCTGAAAACAGCACATCAGAGGCAAAATGTTTCAATGGGAACTTTTCTAGTCCATGAGTGACTATAGTTAAAGCAAAAACTTTGGTTAACTGTTTTGAAGATTATTTCAAATAAGACTAAGTGTGGCTACCAATTCTAATCCCACAGCCCTATACAGAAGACGATTTAACTGTCTTTCTGCCATCCACTTGTTTGCAACCAAATATTAGGTCTCTAAGAGTTCTGAAAGAGCATCTATTTTAATAGTAAAAAATCAGTGTCTTAGACTGTGATACACTAACAATTTTTAATTTGTCATTTGCATGAACATTAAAGTCATTTTTATAGTGTATTACTATTATTAACTGTCTGCAGTTGTAATGGCACTTTGTTTTAATACTTCTTTAGTAAACATATAAAAATGTAACACATACCTCAAAACTGACAGGTATATTGCGCTTCAAAGCGATTTCAAACACTACACTGATCTCAGACTTGTTTGCATCTTTATCTTCTTCTGATTCTTTTCCTGTTTCTCCATTCTGAAAATGATGCATACATAATCATATCACAATTCTTAAAAGATAAAAACAATATATTATCCTTCTCCCCCAATTTCTCAAAGACTTTTGAATTCTCCTGCCAGGATGTAAATCAGCGCTTGTACATCTATCTCAGCACCCCATTATCAGACATCTGCTGACTGTGAAGCCATATATAATGTGCTTACACTTCATAACAAAGGAACACATACACATTAATTTTTCATTAATTATAGATGGCAAAATAACAACTCTGGATTTTAGTCTTATTGATGACATGGATAACAATTATCTGAATACACACTTCTTGTGTCAAACATGACAATCAAACAGATCCTTCGATCTGTTTCTCAGTCGCTCTGTGGGTACCCCTTCTAAGCAAGGAAGAAATCTGTACTTCTTGGAAAGTACAGAAGACAGCATTTCTCTCAGAAGAAATTCAGTGAATCAGTCCCACACTTGGACTAGGTCACCAGGTTACAGGTGTCCTCAGCAGGTCCAGCTGGTTAATGGCCCCTCCCATCAACTTCCCTCTAGGAGTTATGACCAGTGTGAAAAGGTAGTGACAGAGAACAGCTTGCTCAACACAGAACATTATTTATTTATCCGTAGGAACATAACAAACAGAGAGGCTAAGAGATAAAAAAACAAAAGGCACATGCAAACATTATCCTGCCTAAAATTCAGCTTTGCTTTACACTTCAGGAAATATTAATTTTCTCAGACAACAACCAGCATAGGGATCAGTCAGCCTTTTGCAACCACTGCCTTTTGGTGTTTGTCCCCCAGGCTGCATTTCCTTAGTTCTCAGAGGTTTCACTTTCAGCTACTTTCAAACTGCAAAGCTCTGAATGCTTCAAACTGGGACCTCTCAACAACCATGTAACCTTGGCCAGGCTCCTAATTTTTTATTAGTGGAGGTAAACTTCAAAGACACTTGGGCTGAATTAGGTGGATTCCTGCAGAGCTCCCGTCTTACATAACAAAGTCTGATCTAAATCATCAGCCACTAGCATAGCTAGTGCAGATACCAGAATTATAAAACACCATTAAAAAAGCACTAGGTTCTTCACATTAAAATGAAATTTATCAATCTTTTATCTATCATTCATTAATGCTTAATATATTAATCCTTAAGACAATGCAGGACCAAAAATCCAGCACTCAAGTTACAGCATGCAGACGTGGAGCAATTTTGTCTCATTAAACTTTTGAGTCTGAAAAAAGTCATTTACATCCCTGACATTGATCTGGAGCTAAATGCAAAACAAAAAAATTATAAAGTTTATAGAACCTGCTGAAAACAAAGGGTGCAGTGAAAAACAATAACAAAGGTAGTTAGAATGAAGTTATGCAGGACCTCTAGTTCATTTCATATAATGAAATGTAAAGTACCACTGAAATCATGAATGTAGGTCATTACTTATAGGACCAGCAAAGCATTGATTAGGTTCACTGAGAAAGATCAACAGAGTTAAAAGGACAATATTTAAAGGGGAAAATATATTTTGGAGATACAAAGAATGGGGTACTATTATTCTGTTAAAAGCCTTAGTGAGAATATTACTTGGTATTGTATTCAATTAAGTTTTGTACTTTATAAAGGACATTGATAATCAAAAAAGCTGACAAAAAGAAGACATAGGATGAACTACTGATTAGAAAAAACAACCTTGCACCAACACAGTATGAAAACAATCAGTTCTATAAAAGGATTCAAAATTACTTAAGCATAATTTGTAAATATATATGGGGAAGAAATTTTTGATACCCGTTTGTTACATTTAGCAAAGAAAATACAAATTAAATAGAAAATGAAGCTAGGTGTATTCTAGAAGAGATACCTCACAAATTATCTTTGAAACGGGGAATAATCAAAACTGGCATAATTTACATAAAATAATATAATGCCCACTGGACTGTCAGCAAGCCTCCAAGTCAAGAATATTTAGGTTTTCTGGCTGTACTCTAGCTTAACCAGACATGTATAGTTTAAACTAGAAACTACTGTTTAAAATTTCATGATTAATACAAACACATCTGTCCAGAAAATACCTTATTGTCCCTCCTGCCCTTAAAATTTAACTCCTATCATATTTTTCCACCAAATACAGTAGAGAACTTAACTGTAAGTGGAGAAAAGAGAGGATCAAGACTTTGACGCTTAGATCTTAGTATTGAGCAATAAGGTTTCAAGCCTTAGACATATGACTTCCCAAAGGATGATGAAATACATTCAGGAGTGCCTCAGGCACTTTGGATTTAAATTTGATCCTCATTCCACAACTGACACTTTAATTGTAAGGCCCTTCTTAGCCTCACATCTATGAGACAGCAGAGGTGCTTTGGCAGACACACAATAGCTCTTTTGTGAAAGCAGGTTCACATTCGCTGCAACCCTGCCCTGTTGGCTGATTGCTTCTTGTTTCTGCTCACCTTACGCTCTTCTACATGTTTGTGCAATGAAGTATTAAGACAGCAATATTCCTCTTCAGTGGTTTGATATGGATAAAAGATTTTATCCTTAAATAAGTTTTTTTAAAGAAAGGGAAAAAGGGGTACCTTGAAACGAAAGAAGAATATACAGAAGTCTGCATTAAGTAAACACGGCTATGAAAGCCGAAAGATAAACCTGTGTATTTCCATAGATCCCATTCTAGTCAAATTCATTGAGTTACTAATGGGATTACCAGATGGGTACGAGCAGGTCTGTCCTTGCTCCCCTCTCTGCTCTCCTTGGGAGCACAGTGGCAGTGACTGGGGAAGAAAGAAGCTCAATCTCATAATGTAATCAAGGCCAGTCAGAATCTGATGTGTACTGGTTCTGATCCATGCACGATGTTTGAGGAATGGCAAATCAATCATCTTCCACAGGTAACTCAAGATGGTCAGTTTTGCTGAAGGTTTTACTGAGCTGGACCACGGTCCGTGGTGAGGGCACATACCACCACTGCATAGCAGCCCTGTGTGCATTTCACATGAGCAGCAGCAGGGAGAAGCCCGAACCTTGTCACCACAAAGCCCTTAAATTCTATTTCAACCAGCCCCCCGTTCTCTGGAGAGCTACACTCAGCTCCACATGATGCAATGCTCTGTACTCCCTCCATCATGATCCAGGCAGAGAGTTACCTCAGCCAGTCACCCCCAACTCTAAACCATGAAGTGTCAGAGATGCTTTTTCATGATTCACCTGCAACCAGCCCACCTTCCCCTCAGCATAACTAAGCCACAGAGGTTTTCCTGACTGAGGACTTGACTTAGTCTCCTCCCAAAGGACACTTGCTATTGAGATTCTACAGGATCTCAAGTGGTCGTCAACTGCTGCACCAGAAACTCACAGTTCTCCCAGAGGTCTTGCAAGTATTTGGCTTCTTTGACTGGGAAATATTATTATATTTGTCCTTTCAATTTACAAAGATTATTCTGAGAATAATTTTTCTGTTAAATATTTTTTAAAATATGACACAATGTTTTAATTTTTAAGCAGCAATATACACCACTTATAAATGTAGCAGTGAGAAAGCCAATTATTTAAAAAGGTGACTAAAAGCCTATAACCAGGTGATCAATAACTGCCAATGAGCTCCATCAGGTTCTTAAGTACATTGGGGACAAGTAATTTCAACTGTAAAAATTGCATTAATGGCACAACACATATTTAAGGTTAATAATTCATTCTCCATAAAGTCATTGATTAAATGGACATTTTCTCCACTTTTGGTATAATTTCAAATATTTCATTTTATTTTGATTTTATTTTTTACTTAATCACTGTTGACAATCCTATTTTTAAAATGTCTACTTATTTTTTGTTATTTAAGTCTAGTGCTATGTTAGGTGTGCCTTTATTAAGAAATGAGTAATTTAGTATTACTTCTCTAAATACTGAGGCTAATATGAAAAAAATACTAAAAATTAAACATTGAAAAACTGGCAATGAAATTATTCAATTTGGTATCTTCACGTGAAGATTAGGAACAGTTTTCTGAAATACAAACCTGAGGTAATTTTTCTGGAATAGGTTCATTCTGGAGAGCTTGAAGGGCCTTCATTGCAGCATTATGTCTAGCAGCTTGACGAGTCTTTCCTTCACCAAAAAACTCACTGTTGCCAACAGTTAACTGGACATAGAAAATTTTAGGCACTGGGCAATGATACCTGGAAAAAAGTCACAAAGAGAAAACAACAATAAAATTTAGGAATTTTAGCCAACCATTTAATATAATACAGAGTAGTACTTGCAGATAAAACATTATCTTTTCTCACAGAATAAGACCCAGTAGCCAAACACATGGACTGTACCTCAGCAAGGCAGTTGGTAACTCTGAGAGCAGCTCCTACATACAAACCATCTCCTCACCTACACTTGTGAGCTCTGCAGTGAGCTCTACTATCTATCAGCCCAACAGCCCAGCTCTGCTCTCTTCTTGGTCTGAGTCTTGGGAAGATGAAAACCTAAGGGGAACCAAAAATTCCAGTGGAAGCCACGCCTGGGAGACTACTTCTGTCCCACAGACAAGTGGCACAGAGGAAGAAGGATTGTGAGGTTGCTCACATGGAACTTGTCAGTATAGCTCAGCTCTAAGGGGCAACAAAAGTCAGGTGGCAGAGAATACACGTAGCAGAAATGGGTCCTCATTTGACAAATTACCTGTCCATATTTTACAGCAATGTAAAAAAGTCCAGGATTCCAAAAGCATGGCCAAAAGTAAGGTCCATTACAACAAAACTAGATTCACTCAAACACAGTACTAGATTCATTTAAACAAAGTACTACATTTTTCTCATTCCTCTTAAGGGATCCTTTTTAAAATGTGTTCTCTCTACTTTCATCTCTGGACATGGATGGTGATTTTTTGGTATGAAGACTTTCTGAATTTTCATTAATAATTGTAACCCATTTATTTCAACTGTAAAACAAAAAGTTTACCAGAGAGCAGCACACTTCAAAACCAAACAACTGCAATCAAGCACACCGGTCTCAGTGTCCTTGAACTTTGTGCCTAATTCTAAAAATACGTTTATGTGGAAAGAGCAAAACCATAACACTGGCTCCAACAAGCCTCTGGCTATAGGGTCTTGGAGGAGTGAGCTAAATTGCCTTTATGACATGCAAAAAGTGGGTATTTACTTTGATTTCTTGTTTACAGTTTAACACACTTATAGGGAATTATTAAGGCCTGGAAATGCTTTTGCTTATGTAGCATTTTCACAAAATTATAGAATAACTCAGGTTGGAAAGGCTTCCGGACATCATCTGGTCCAATGCAGCACCCAGAGCATGGTCAAGCTCTGAAATTACCCTGTCTTATTCAGGCATTGTCCAGGATATTGTGGATATCCTCAAGGATGAAGATTCCACAACATCTCTGGACGACCTTCCAGTGTTTGACCACTCTTTCTGGAAAACAATTACAAAGGTTCTACATGCCTAATGGAACTCAAACACCATGGTGCCATTAGTTAACTAAGCAGCTGTCAAACCAAAGAAACAGACAGTTCAACAATGTCAACTTCTGTCCCACTCCACTGTGTCCTTTGCTTCTGACATAGAGCATTCACCCCTTTCCTCCCTCTTCTTCTAAAAGTAAACACAATATCAAGACACTACCAATATGACAAAATCCACAATAAAAAAGTACAGCGGCTTTAGACTGAGATTTACCTCAAAAAGAATGTCAGTTTTTCAAATGAAAAAAGATATAGGGTATAAAGATTTCCCCTATCATGCTGTCTTGTAGGCCCTTAATTACTTGTGTGTATACAATTGGAGTGGGACCCCTTCAGTCCTGTTTAGTTGGTTTTAGGGTCTCTCTTGCCAACATCACCCTTAAGTTTTTGCCTACTAACTTGATCCATCACTTCTTGCTTGGTTATAGGTTAACTCCACTCTCTGTCACCTTAAGGCTCTATTGACCAGATTAGCCAACCTGTTGATAAAGATGCTTGCCCCACTCAGTCAGGTGGATCCCATCTCTTACAAGCATCGATCCTCAAAGAAGTTGCCATAGTTGTAAAAACCTGATCTCTCTTGTCATGCTTACTACGCATGTCCCCTTACAGTATCATTGGTGTCCACAATGAATCCTAGCAACAGCTCTGCAGCTAGTTCTGACTCAAGGTCTTTGATGCACCAGGGAGAGCTGCTCCAGATGGTGCTAGGAACCGTGTCATGTGGTGCATCACCACCACTGCTGAGCACACACGCACCATCCTCAGCAGTTTCTGACTTCCTTCTGCATGAACTGCTGTGCAAACTGCTGCATCTGCTGGTTGTCTCTGGGAATGGTGTTCTAGGCCCTGCACTTATATGTGCTTCTCTGTAGTACCTGCTGAGAGGGTGCTTGACCCTCTCTAATCAGGAAACAACTGGAAGGAAAGCTCAATGTAGCTTTTGATCAGGAGTAGCTGACAACTTACTGGCAGCTGCTGAATCTTGCTAAAAGCCACAGCCTCCAGTAGCTATCCTTTCCCTGCAGCAACAGGCATCCTCAAGTTCCTTGAAGAATTCCCAGAAATCCTCTCACCATCCCAGAAGATCTCAGAAGATGTAGAACTAGAGCCTGGAAATGGCTGCATGTGTTATGCAGGACAAGCCATATTATGCAAAAGCAGTAGACATCTTGATAGCATGTCCTACCTCATTACTTCACTATCTTCTTTAAATAAAAAGAAATATAGTAGTGCTGTTAGCAACTATATATATTTAGGGAAAATACAATATCCATCGGAAAATACAATATCCTGTTTCCTGTTGAGTTACTAGGCCTACCTTTCCCTCCATTGCATGCAAAGGAGGAAAGCACGTGAACTTAATCCACTTTATAAACTCAAATCCCACAACAGGCCTTTGCTTTTTCCCTCCCCCCTTCCCACCTTTTCTTTTAAAGAGTGTTTAGGGAGCTATTTATGTGATAATATGGAAAAATTATATTCAGCCCATGGCTCTAGAGCCTCGGCAGCTCTTTGACATTGGCAGAATGATTAGGCTTTTACATGATTTTGATTAAACTTTTCTTGCTCTGCTTGGCCTCAAGCAGAGTCAACAGAGCACTGATAATATGAACATTGCCAGGAAAGTGCAAAGGAGCACCTGAAATCCTCAGAAAAGGGACTATATCTGCGAGGATATTGGCTTCTCTACAATAGAGAGCATGTCAAACAGAAACAACATCCTCTTTTCAGTGATGAGGATAGAGACTGTATTAACAAAAGCCTCAAATTAATCATAATATTAGAGTCTGAAAGTACAGTGTGACAATTAAACTTACTTTTCATAATGAATGATTCTGCATCCTAAAGATGTACACTCATGTAAAGAACAAGCCTATGCAAAGATAAAATTATATATCTGCCACTGATCATTAACAAACCTTCCCAATATATTATATATGAGTTACTACAAAGGGTTGAAATAATTTACCACCTTCTGAATGTTTATCTAGAATTTTTGATTATTATGCAATAACATATCAGCACAATATTTTCAATCACATGTCAGTCCTACACTCCTCAGTCCTCTGTCACTCTCTTCAGCCACAGAACTGAAACAGTCAGAATTTCAAACAGGAACGCATCACATACAGACTCATTAGGCTTCTAAAAGTTTTTAAATTACCTTCATTTAAAAAATATGCATCTCCCTGCCTTCTACATGGCAGCTATGAAGGCTAGGATTTTCCTTGGAGAAAATTCTTATGTAAAAGCGATTCTCAAGTGATACTGGCACACTCCTCAGAACATAAGCTGACAAATACAGCCAAATGACAGAGGATTATAAGGCTAGAGGACAACAAAAGGACATGTGAAATGATACATTCAATTCAAGAAAACAAAGTGTGATAAAGGATAATACACAGTATAACCTCTAAAAACAAGTTCATTTTCATCTGGCTCTTCTGGACATTTGTAATTCTTAAGAAGATTCCTCGAGTAGGAGGTCTGGAAAGCAGGTTCCCTTTATTCCCTCCAAGTTTCAGAGCATCGGAAATCTACTTTTTAGCTAATGCCACTGGTATCACTTTAGAATAGTCAAAATGAAAAAGGGTATTTGCTCCATGACCGTGACCTTGAATGCCAAGTTTCAGCAGTGAGTAAATATTTACAACTAGTTATAAACCCCTAAAAATAGGGGTTCATAACAGAAATGCTGACAGACCTTAACTAAGTTGGTGTGAGCGGGCGCCACTATAATTAAATAAATCACCAAGGTCTGTTGACAATTAGAAAACTCATTTTGGTTTGCCACAGAGACAAACAAAAATTCTGTTCATTATAATTTTACTGGAATATGATGTCATAACATGTAAGCATACTGAAACAATCTGCTGCTTTTCTAGCCAAAATATTAATTGCATACTAAGGAGCCCTTGGGGCCTCTTCCTTTTTGGCCATCAAATCCACTCACATAAAGACAAATAAAGTATTAGTACATATGTTATGTGTTCGTACTGCATTTCCTGCATTTCTCTGGATTCCTCAATGGCATAAATGTTTCTGATAAATATTGTTACTTTATTTTTAGAAGTGGAAAAAAACAAGTGCAAGTTGCAACTCACAGAAACCAGGAATTTTATTTAGATTTAGCTTCATGTTAAAAACTCAGTGAGGTTTTCTCTGAATTCTAATGGTCAATATATTCTTCAACTATGTAAAAAAGAACAAATAAAAACAATTATTTCCCCACTACACAAGTTTTTTAGGAAGTATTACCCTATTCCCATTTCATAATGCAAAGTGAAGAGGAACTGGGACCATTTTGGCCAAGATGAAGACCACTAAAATACAAGATACAACACGGTATGGGAAAGTCATTCTTCAGATACCAGGTCAATGCTGAAAGGGTCATTCTCCACAGTTTTTCGCCCTGGCTCCTTTTCCATACGAACTCAATCAAGCTGGCAGCCCTGCTAGCACTGCTTAATCAGGAAAATGCTGTGGAGCTTTGTGAGTGGAGGGATAGAAAGACACAGACCATGCAGGGAGTAGGAAACAGCATTTGCTGTGGATAACTTTTTCTCCATAACATTTGAAATTTCTCTAGGGGAGCAAGTTGCTTAGTGCAGCTGTTCCCTGGCTATGTCCTATTTTTCTAAGCAGTCCATTAGCCACGTGCATGAACTCACAGATGTGAGTTCTATGTTTTGAAGAAGGAAACA